TATGCGTTGCCTAACTTTAATCGACGGAGGAGAGGATGCACAGAAATATACTATCTTCCCTTTCCGTGCATCCTCTCATCCGGATAGTCCACTTCCACTTCCCATCCTTATAAGAAAAAGGGTGGAAAGGAAAGAGGACTAAATTAGGTCTCCGGGACGCACACTCATCAGACTAGTTGGAATTGCTTCCACTTGAGGCCTGTCTTCTGTGTGGTCGTGGTATTTCACCGGGCGAGCCGGGACAATTCGTGCGAAGATGTTAAAGCTGGCTCTACCACTGTTCACTGTTCTGTCTGGTTTTAGCTTACCCAAAATTTATTCACAAGATTTAATATGTAATTTATTGATTTTATTTAAAAATGCTTTTTCTTACAGGACCTGTAATTAAATTCATTAAAATTAATAATAACGCTAATGAAAATAATGAATCACAAAATAATGATATTCAATCACAATTCAATGATGCAAAAATTAATGATAATGAAATTGTCAGAAGGAATAATAAACTGAAAATCAACACACACCAGTGTTATGTTTGTTTTAAAGTAAGTAGTATGGATGACTGAGCTTTGCTCGGTATTTTTTTTTAAATTGTGTTTTTATGGAAATTATATTTAAGTACGAATTACTAATAAAATTATGAAATATGAATATAATTTTTCGATCTTATCGATAGAAAAAGTAAAGTTTATGTTTAAGTTGATTATCGATAAAACACGAATAAAATGACATTTTCTAAAAATGATTCCTAGCTAGATAGATTTATCGCCCCCGAAACCCTCTATATACTAAATTTTATTAAATTCTTGTGTCACAATTTTCGTTCCCATACTCCTCGGAAACGTCTTGACCGATTCTCATGAAATTTTGTGAGCATATTGAGTAGCTCTGAGAATCAGACAACATATATTTTTCATCCAGCGCGGACGGAGTCGCGGGCGACAGCTATTATATCAATAAAAATTGGAGCGTCTTTATTATCGAAAAGAAAATTCGTACATGTATTTGGGTCGCTGATAACCAATTTTTTTATAATTTTTGTCTATATGTTTGTATGTAAGTTTGCGTATGTTCCGTGTAATCTCGCGAAAGTGTGGACAGATTTTGACGTGACTTTGACTGGAAGGTAGCTGACGTACACGAGAATGTTATAGGATACTTTTTTTTAGGGTTCCCTATCTCATAGCAAAAAAACGGAACCCTTATTCAATTTTACGCTGACTTAGTCGTGCCAACCGATATGTAAAAAATCTCTGTACAAAAAATCTGTTTTTTTTTGTTACCTACATGTTTTAAATTGGACAGGTTATGATGATTTAAGATGTTTTTATAGGATGACAAAGGTTTTTTTAAAAAAAATAATGAAAAAAAAATCATTATATTTTTTAAAATTGTGAAGTTTTTTTTTAATTTTTGAACATTTGAAGATGTTTTGACTTTAGTATTGCAAAAAAAACTACACCTTTTTTTTGTATTTCTTTCAGTTATTCGAAACTAAACCAAAACTGATAGAACATTGTATAGAACATTTTGATGTTTGTTGCGATGTGATGCTAAAAAAATGCCCTCTTTGTGATTACGTGACAAAATTAAATCTATCTAGACATATGAAATTAATACATAAAATTAATATACAACTACCCTACACAAGATTTAAAGATAAAAAACATAATAATAACGGTTCTAGATATTATTACGATATAAATAATAAAAATATCGATAAAATTGAAATAATACCGAGTGTTAGGAATTTAAATAAAATCGAAAGTATGAAAATTGATAAAAAAAGAAAAATAAAAAAATCTTTTAGTATAGATAAAAAAAAGTTAATTAAAAAAGGCAATGAATGGATCGTGGGAGATGAAGAAGTAAAAATAAAAAACGATTATTTAATAACAAATTTTAATATAGAAGATTTATTAAAAATCAAAGTGATAGGGGATGATTATTTGTCAAAATTAAAAAAATTAAGTCACATAGCAAAGAATAAGGGTGATAAAATGTTATTTCCTTGCGAGAATTGCGAAAAAATATGTCAAACTTTAAGCGCGTTAAAATTACATACACGTAAACATAATCCGAATGCGAAACCGTTCAAGAAAAAATTATGGAAAAATAAAATTAATGGAAAAGAAATTGAAAAAAACACTAACAGATATGAAAAACCTAAACCTATTTTAAATAAACATAAATGCGATAAAGAATTAAAAGATTTTTACGAAAGTAATATTAAAGGAGGTGACATCGAATTTTGGCAATTTTTAAAAATATATAATAAAATATCCAAAGAAAATATCACAGAATTCTCTGAATTGTATAAAAGATCAGATTTCGGTATACATTATGAACTTACCAATGACGAATTAACAAATAAGAAAGAAAATAAATCACAAAAGGAGGTAATAAAAAACAAGAAAGTAATAAAAAAAACTCCTAAATTTAGTAGAGTTGTAAAAATGAGTAAAAAACAATATTTAAAAAGAATGGAAATAAAGAATAAATTAAGACAAAATATAAGTAATATTATATGTTAGAAGTTATCTCCAGAACGGCTGCATGGATCTCACTGAAAGTCATAGATGTAGAACATAGTCTGGAAGAATATACAGACTAATTTTTTTTTATTCCGTGTGTACGAAGTCACGGGCGACAGCTAGTACTTAATAAAACGAATTTTCTAAGCATAATACTATTGTAGTTGAGCTTAGGATTTAAATAAAAATGTTTTCAGAATATCTTGTTTTATTTCTTGTTTTTACTTTTTTCACTGGCGACTAAATAAATGAATATTATTCAGCTATTTATCAAGTAAATAAAATATTATATTAAAAAAATAAAACACAACTTTCAAGCATAGAAAAAGTTTTATTATCTAATTTATTGACCTTTATTTTCATTTACACATATTTTTCCTTACAAACAACTTATAATTGTATTATTTTAAATTTGGAACACAAAAACTTTATATTAGTACTATATTGTTATAAGAAACCGTTGCACCGACCTCTATAGACAGGATATAAGGCATGATATTTTGTGCCTATTTGATATCCGCCATTTTGATCTTTGAACCATAGTCTAAAAGAGGTATCTGACCTGTTGGGCAAAAGTCAAACTAAATTATGACAGCTCACTAGCGCCCTCCTGTCAATGTCATAAGATCCTTAGGGTACATATCCATACTACGTGACCAATTTTTTTTATTTTTTTCGACCCCTCCCTCCCCTCGGTGAACACTCGTACCCCAAGACCCCCCTTTAGTTTTTACGTAGTAATTCATAATTGTAATTTTTAATTGAAACAAAAATTGAAAAAGAAATAATTTGGCTCATACTCTTCTTTATAGTATAAGACTGCATGCATACTTAAATTACTAGTGAATTATGTATTATGAAAATAAAATAACTAACGACTACGTAACTATAATCTGAGCCATCCCCCCCGCTCCTGTGACCGTAGTATTTTAAGGACTCCCCCCCCTAAACAGGTCACGTAGTATGAGTACGTTCCCTTATAATGTAGCTATGATATCATTTTTAGGTTGGTTTGACATTTTCTGACAGAACTAATCACGTCTTTGACTATAATATAGATAGAATAAATTTTCAGGAACATCAACAGGTTTAAATCTGAAATTAGTTAATCAATTTCCAAGAAATGAAACATCTACAGAGATGTTTATGATAAAAGCCGTAAATCTCGACGGATATCGCTTTTTGCGACTGGATATTATCGGTCTCTTTGATGTCGATATAACCGGTTCAGTTTGGTTCATGATGAATTCTCACCATATGTTATTACGACCATATTTTCATCATCATTCAACTCTGAAATAAAGGTCGTATTAAAATATACATTTTAATAAAAAACTTAACTTGAGGGCGCTTCAATCGACTTCAATTAGTTTCATATTTTATCGCAATATAATGAGTTTTTATATTCCTGTTTGGGCTATAAATAATCCATCCATTTTACTAATATTATAAATGCGAATGTTTAGATGTATGTATGTTAGAAGATATGTCCAGAACGCCTGAACAGATCTTGATGAAATTTGTCATACATATAGAACATAGTCTGGAAGAACATGTAGGCTACTAATGATGTTTTTTTTTAAATTCCGCGGACGGACAAAGTCGCGAGGAGCGCTAGTTCTAAACAAAGATCAAAAGTTTATAAACAAATGTCACTATTTTATTGTAGGTTTAAACTTGACATCTTTAATTTTCTCTTTAATAAAAAAAAGTGTGAAAACGCAAAATAAAATTAATATTTGATCTTTAAATATATTGCTTTAAAATGTTTTAAAATACTCACCCATTTTACAATGTCCTTCTTTATTCTTCAACATATGATGTTTTAACAGTACTAAAGTTGAAAATGTCTGCCCGCAGGAACAAATATGTTCATATTGCTTATTAACTTTTTCTATATAATGACTTTGCATATGGTCAGCCATCCCTTGTTCTCCAATACATATTTCCCTACATAATATACATACGCGTACATTATGTTCTTCTAAATATGACAGAGACACACCTTTCATTGGTATATCCATTATAATAGTTGTTTTATATTCACCAAATGTACTCGGCACGAAATAATCCTTCCAATTACGTTTATCTTCTTTTAAATCTATTGATTTGTTAATTTTATGTCTCGTATTCAAATGTTCTTTGAAATATATTTCATTTTTACTTTCATATTGACAAATCTCGCAGAATAAATATTTCTTATGTTGTTTCATATGCTCTTTTAATTCGTCGCGATTTTTAAATTTCTCTAAACATATTTTACAACATGACACACTTTGGATATGATGACCTTGGAAGTGATACCTGAAATTATTATAGAAATTAATCCTGTTCCTTGGTCCTTGATTATTTATATAATTACATATAGTCTTAAATCTATAATATAAAATAAAATATAAAAAAAAAACGAATAATTTACTAAAAATGTTATTAAAACCCCTTTAGGCAAGGTCCCGAAGATACTGGCAGCGTTCCCCCTTTGGACAGCTAAACTAATTCTTTGACCGAGGTAGCTGCCAGCTCTTCGGTCCCCTGTGATGTCGATTATTTTTTTGGAAATGTCCTTAAAAAGTCTTAAAGCGCTAGGACCCCACGGACCAAGGGTCTCGACGCCGAATGGGACAAAATGATATTCGGAGCCTAGACCCCTGTATTTGCATGCTTTTGCATATATATTACATTTACATATTTTTAAACAGTATTAACCAAGTCAAGTGTTAGATTACAGGGGACATAAACGTCGACATTTTAATAAGGCTAGTGTTGCGTAGGCACATTTTGGGATTTTCTTCCTAACAATATGTACATTTATCGTATATTGTTACTGTGAAGGAAAACATCGTGTTGCACATATCTGAGAAAGTCAAAGATATGTGTGAAATCTTGCACTGGACCAGCATTCACTATCACATAGTCTCACTTAGGGTAGACTCCGAGCCCCTTAGTGGGGATTTATAGTGAGCTGATGATGAAAACATCAGTAATTGCTGATATAGGCACTGGTTGCTAAGAAATTGATAAATATCCTTACCACATTGTTTTAATCCTCTGCATCTTGAAACATTTTGGGCATGCCGCAAACGTTGCATCTTTATCAACACCCATATGGAACGTAATTATATGAATTTGCATCAACAATTTATTGAAGAATAACACAGAACATGTCTCACAAATGAAGATCTCTCGTTCTACACGGGTAGCATTTTCATCACTGAGTAGGTGATGGACTTTAATATGCTTTATTAATCCTTCGTATGTTAAATGTGGCTTCACACATAACTGAAAATTAATATTAAATGATGACTGAAAGATTAAAATCAATCTGGAGGATAAACTCTAGCTCCGCTGACTTCATCCACTTATATACTGTTGTTTGGAGACATTTTATTTACTTAAACTTATACTTATTTTAAGTATACTTATGATATATAACAATAAAACTTATTAAACTCACAAAACATTTAAATAAACCTCACATATTTGAAACAATATTTGCCAGATCGGCAAGCATCAGTATAGATTAATATCAATTTACCCATAAATGTCGTTGTTTCTGATAAAATATATATATTATTATGAAAACTTGAGTTTAAATAATTAGTTCTATCTTTTAATAGACATTTAAAACATCTCACAATATTGTAATAAGCTCCCTCTGTTGTTAAATCTTACTAATATTATAAATGTGAATGTCTAGATGTATGTTTGTTGGAAATTATCTCCAGAATGACTGCATGGATCTCAATGAGATTTGGCATAGATGTAAAACATAGTCTGGCAGAACACATAGGCTACTACTACTAAATAAGTTTTTTTTTATAATTACGCGCGAACAGTGTCGCGTTGCGTCAGCAAGTAATTATAAAATAGACTTTAAAATTAATTACATATATGTATCATACATATACAAGCTACATATATGACGCTTTCATTCAAATAACAATATTTTAAATGCCCTAAAACTTTTAACTTGGGACATCTATCGGCAAATTTATCAACTATTTTAATTGAAAATAATTACGACACTTTTAACAATTCATAGAGAGCGTTATTGTTGATTGAGTACGCCTTGTGTTTCTATAACTAAATTTTATATTAGAATCTCTTATTTCATAGAATTGTTTCGGATAAAATTGAATAATTTGAAAGGTGGAAGGTAAATAAATGATTGTAACCTTACCCTACAACAAAATGTCGCTCTTGAATTTTTCATTAAATTCATAATTTCTCTTTTGTGAACTAAAGATCGATGTATTTCCACCTCAGTTTCGCTGTCCCAGCCATCGAAACATATATTACAGAAATAAGTCTCAGCGTTTGTTTCATCAGTTTTTTTATTAGTTGGACGATACTCGACGTCTCTCGGAGACGATCGAAACATAGCCATTTTTCAGTCAATAAAGCATATACATCAACATAAATAAGTACAAAATGGTTACATTAATATATACTCTTATCTATTCTTATGATTTACAACATTAAATTAACTGAACCAAATAAAAAACATCGAAAAACACTACAACGCAATGCAAAGACAATGTCTCGTCCATAGACAATTGAAATAGATTATAAAGAGCATTTTTTGTGAAAGTGTCACTTTACACCACAGAGTAAAATTACCGTAATTTAAATTGCACTTCGCACATCATAGTATTTGCATTTTTATTAGTTATTCTTTAGTTGAATTTCAGTAAAATTAAATTTAACTTAACTAATTAAATTAACTTCGACCCAATTGACAATAACTAATGGTCGAACCCAATATCTTTTGGTGAAACTTAAATCGAAGATTGAATTTAAGTCAAAATTATCTTAAGGTACTAATTGGTCTCTATTCATGGATAAGGCCTCCGCGTATAATCATTCAACAATCGATAGTTCCAGAAACAAAATAAAATGATGCAAGGCATGTCTTTTATATCAATTAAAATGTCTGTAATTTATAGAAACGGAACGTATCGTATTTGTAAACATGGCGAACATATTTTATAATTTCTTTATCAATTTGAAGTTTATTATCAGATTTATGAATTTCTAGTGAAAATACTTGTGTTATGTTTTTCCAAAGCTGCTTAGGATTCATTTGTTGTTAAAACTTTAATTTATAAAGGTTATTTTATTTACATAATTTGCACAGGAATAAACAATATGGAAAGTCAATCGGTAGGTGTTGATACATGTTTGTTAGTATCAATATTCGATCTTAAACTATTTTTGCTTATCAACTGTAGTTTTTATTAATATTTTAAATCCAGTTGGTTCTAATTTAAGCGATCGCAACAGCTTTCGAGAAACTACTTTAGAGGGAGATCGTGTTTTGTATGTATTATATCTCATACAAATTATTTAAAAATAATTGAACGGGTCGATATCAAAGATCGAATATTGATTTCGGCTTAACAAGTAAACGAAATATATATTTATTTACATCCAATTCTATAATTGACATTTAATTTTCCAGTCAAAACCATTAACAAAGGATGAAACCAAAGCTTTATTATTGTTAATAGAAGAAAGTAACATAATAATAAGGAATAAAAAAATGAACGCAGCCACTAACCAAATGAAAGTACAAGAATGGATCCGTATAGCTCAAAAATTTAACAACACAATATCAACACGTGAACGTACGCCGAGACAATTGCGTTTAAAATGGGAGAATTTAAAAAAATCAGTCAGAAAAAGGAATGCAACTATACAAATGAATAGTATGGTAATTTCAACACTAGCTGTCAACTACGAAATTCGCGCCATAATTAAATAAAACGAAATAGTACTCTATGTGTTCTTTTAGGTTATATTAGTAAATTTTTTTTCCGTAGACCGGTGGAATACCTGAATATATTCGACCTGACGAAGTTCTAGATAGAGTATCTTCTATGTTGAATTGCACCATAAATGATTATTCTGATAAATTCCGTGGTGATTCAGAATTAAACAATGATGCATGTTCAAGTCCAGATTACTATTTCAAACATCATACTATATACCTTTAGAAAATATTGAAGTTGTAAACAGTGTTATGTCAGATGATACAAATGAAAGTGGGAAAGAAAGGATTCCAAATACTCCACAAACTGAAGGTAACAATACTAGCTATTACAACTCTGTACTGTAGACTATGTTCTATATGTATGACAAATTTCATCAAGCCATGCAGTAGTTCCGGAGATATCTTCTAACAAACATACATCTAAACATTCACATTTATAATATTAGTAAGATATAATTATTGAAATCAATCCAATAGTTTTAAAGTTTAAAAGATTATAAATTTAGTAACTATGAAATATTAAAAATATAGTCTGTCATTTGGTGATAGTGAAGTTTCCCAACAGTGGAATTTGCTACCAAATTATCATTTAAGCTTTCATATTTATAATATTAGTAAGATGTTTCAACATATTTTACAGGTTTTAAAAGGAAATATAAAATAGAGGAGAGTAGAGCAGCAAGAGATAGAGCTATAGAAAAATATTTTGAAACAAAAAGGAAAGTAATCAAAGAACTTTTTCCTTTAGAAAATAAAAATTAAAACTCGATAGAAAAATTAAAAAACAATACATAATATATTATATCAACATTTGAAATAAATATATCCATAGTCATAATTGTAAATAATTAATATATTAAAGATAAGTATATGTATTCATTGTTTTTTTTATTAGTAACACTGTTAAAAAAAAATAGTAGTCTATGTGTTCTTCCAAACTATTTTCTATATGTATGACAAATTTCATCAAGATCCATGTAGCTGTTCTGGAGATACCTTTAAACTTTCGAATTTATAATATTAGTAAGATTTTCTGTTCATCATTGTAATACTTGGACTTTGATGCACCTATTGAAGTTCCTTACAGTAAATTCTATATCTATAATTAGTACTAATCTTCATCACCGCAACTCTTAGCGCCAAAATGGCGAAGATAAAAAAAGCACAAAATTCTGCGGTTTATAGCCTATCATGTATAGAGTTGTCTATGGAACACTATTATAATTTGACAACTTGAAGTTGGGAACTTACATGATTCTTTGTGTACTTTCATTCAATATTATATTTACAACAGTTGTGACATTTTTTATTTTTTAAAAAAACATTGTATTATATAAAAAGTCATCCTTGTTCCTCATCCTTGACAAAATAGACATTTTTGGACTCGGAAACCCACAGTTAATCGGAAGAAGTAAATAAAACATTATCTGGCAAGAAAAATTTTATTTAACACATAAAACACATCTTTATATAAGCAAAAAGCCATATTATGACCAAGAAAAGTCATAATTTTAATAATTTTAGACCTTAAAGGAACTTAGTTTCAAATTGTAATAAATTATTGTTTTTTTTATAATCGAATATTATCTGTAATAATATTAATTTAGTCATCGGACAGAAATAATCGTATCGAATAGTTCTCTAGGATAAAGTAGATCCGATTATGAAAATCGATTTTATTATAATAATAGCTCTATCATATTAAATAATTAATTTAACATGATTATTAATAATAATACACTAAAATACTATTTTTTGGTAACCCTCAATATTAAATCTATATAAAATACGATCTATTCACCATATAACGTTAATAAGAATATTAGCAAATGTTAGTTAATTTACTGATATTTCTTGTACTATTACAATTAGGCTTGTACTAGGATGTTTATAGTTGAATAGCGGGATTCGAACTCTATTACATGATGAGTAATCCCTACCCTTAACCATTAGGCTATTGGCGATGTGACTTTCCATATGAAATTCAACTTAATTTCATAGTTTTAATAAAATTAAAACATTATTGGATATTAAGTTTGTATGTTGAAATATTGCGTGATTTTTTTCTTTATATATCATGAATAGAATGTATTCAAATATATTTAAACGTATATATTACATATATTAGGACCCCCACAAAACATATAGCTATGCTATTCTAGTACCAATATTCAAGACTTTGGTTCTGACTATGGATTACTCTAATTTGTAATTTTTTTTATAAATCGTAATAATACGAAAGGATTAAAATTTTTAAAATGTCTTTAAATTAAGTTAAAGTTTCAAGGGCAACTTACTGTAAGAAGTTAAAGTAAATAGATTTCTCTAAATGGTCGATTTATTTCTTTTCAATACTTTATGTCACATACCAATTGTTTGTTGTTTTTATTATTCACTCGAAAGAGCAGGCAAAGGAACTAAGCCATACAGCCTTGTCTTTTTTATTTTGAATATAGAGAATTTTATAATATATAGGCCGCAGCCAAGTCTTATTTTTCTTCCTTCCATCTCTTCAAAATCCATAAATACCAATTGTTACTATGACAGCTGTCAAATAGTTTTTTTTTAATTTTATGACCTGGTAACATAGACCTTTAGGTCATATCTTATTTGGAAAATTTCAAATAGTTTATACCATGTAACCATAGATTAGGAACAAAACCAAAGATTATAAATTACCTAACTGTTGTATAAATATTATTTTTAGATTTTTAAATGCTCTGAACTGGTAATTAAATTTCTATATTGATAATTTTAAGTAATTGTTTAAATATCAAGTACAATAATTTTTATTAAACTTGGAAGTTAATAATAGGGTCCAGAGTTCGATAAGTATATACAATAAACTGGTATTAAAATGGTCGTAACTTAAAATTAGCTAAATATGCAACTCTTCGTTATTTCAATATTTTCCTTGCCTTTATTTTTCCGTCTATTTTCTAAATATTGTTTATAACCTCCTCCGATTATACCTAATAATATAATTAAACCTACCATTGAATTTGATTTGAATTTGTCGGCGCAATCACTAGGATTATCTGGGTTTAGTGTGTAAATCTGAAAAAGTATTAAAAATAACCTTAATTGAGGAAAAAATATCACACAATTTTAAATGACATTTGAGACAAGGTAGTTGGTGGCTCAGGGGTTTAAGTAGTTGACTTTTAATCTGCAGGTCTTGAGTTCGAATCCCGTCATATATCAATGTGTTACATTTATCGTATGTTGTTACGTTGAAGGAAAACATCGTGATGCTGCACATATCTGAGAAAGTCAAATGTGTGAAGTCTTGCACTGGACCAGCATTCACTATCACATAGTCTCAGTGGGGACCTATAGTGTTGTATACCTGTCTGCCAGCATGTAATGTGTACATAGCGAGTGCTATGTAGTAAGGCATATCAAGGCCTGCAGCACCCCCGGCGACAGCCAGTGACGTCACACTGAGCCCTAGGGCTCCGCTGAGAGCAGGCTTCGTGTGCTCCCCAAATGTCAGAGCTGTTGATTTCATGCCGATACGAGCGTCATCTTCTTTATCCTATGAATATAAATAATTGTATATTAAAATCCATACTAATATTATAAATGCGAAAGTAATACTGTCTGTCTGTTTGTGCTTCTTTCTGAATTCTGTTGTGAATCTAAACATTCGCATTTATAATATTAGTAAGTTAAATAAAAAGCAGTTCTTCAAGGCATCAATTCAACAATTTTCAGTCATATCGGTAAAGCCCTTCTTGAGTTATAAATAGTGTAACTAACACAACTTTCTTTTATATATATAAGAAGATGCGAATGTTTAGATAGATGGATGTATGTTAGATATCTACAGAACGTCTGAATGGATCGCTATAAAATTTGACATACATATAGAACATAGTCTGGAAGAACACATAGACGCCAACGCTAGTAAGGTACTAAGGACAGATGATGATGAACTTACCTGATGTGCATAAATAGTGTCATATACAACAGTCCAGGCGAGAGCTCCTGTATATAGGGGGAGACATATAAGAGGTTCTAAACCACCCTGTATAGCTGAATATCCTAATAAAGCACCCCAATTAAATGTAGCACCTAGGAATATTTGAGGGTAGTTTGTTATTCTCTTCATTAATGGATATGTTACCACTAACACTGAAAATAAAACGATTTTTAATTAAAAAAAATCAATTGACTGTCTTTGATTATGATATAAAGAAAAATACGAATCGAATGACAACTTTTGACTATGAAATCTGTCAAAATAAATCCATAGACAATAAATGATAGTAGATCTCATTTCAGTTGGTCTAACCATACAAGGTACATTAAAGGTAGGTAACGCATATGCAATTGCGTATGTCTATGGGCAACGGTCACTTCGCTATTTCAGCGATTGCAGGTGACCGCTCGCTCGTTTGCCACCTTATGATATAAAACATAATACAATCCATACATGGCGGCCATTTTAGTTAGTTAAAAGAACTAAAGGTTAAGGTCAAACTTTTCATCAATAAGACAATTCAAATGAGGTCAAACTGGATGATGTTGTGTTTTGAAGTTATGAGTATGTAGAAGCTGCATCATCAGATCAGCTCCGTGTCATCATAATATTGTATTGTCACGTGATTTACACATTTATCTAACATTTCAAGCATCTGTAGCTCAGTGGTTAACTTGACGCGCAGGTCCTATGTTCGAATCCCGTCATGTATCAATGTGTTACATATGTACATTTATCGTATGTTGTTACTGTGAAGGAAAACATCGTGATGCTGCACATATCTGTGAAAGTCAAACTCTGAAGTCTTGCACTGGACCAGCATTCACTATCACATACTCTCACTTAGGGTGCACTCTACCCTAAGTCGAACTTAGAGTTGATATATTCAACATTTCTCGTCAATTAGTAACATGAAGCGACAAGTGAACCTTTAATTTGTCAAACTAAAGTTTGTACTCACACATACTGCTGGCCCCCAACACAATACTGTAGCAATTGAGTTGTAATAATACAATTAGGGCTAGACTGAGTTGTGCAGCTAGGAATCCTACGGCCTGTTTGTCTGAAATCACTCCTGACACCAACGGCCTATCTTTGGTACGTTCTACCTGTTGATACAATCATATTGTTAACTTAACATCATATAAATGCGAATGTTTAGATGGATGGATTTTAACAGTGGCTCGCTTTAACATCTTCGCACGAATTGTCCCGGCTCGCTCAGTCAAATACCACGACCACACAGAAGACAGGCATCAAGTGGAAGCAATTCTGCCTTTCGTATGATGAGTGTGCGTTCCGGAGGCCTAATTTAGTCATCTTTCCCTTCAGACACTTTTTCTTATAAGGAAACGATGGGAAGTGGAATTGGACTTTCCCGATGAGAGGATGCATGGGAAGAGTAAATTCTTTCTGTGCATCCTCTCCTCCGTCGATTAAAGGTAGGCAACGCATATGCAATTGCGTATGTCTATGGGCAACGGTCACTTCGCTATTTCAGCGATTTCAAGTGGCCGCTCGCTCGTTTGCTTTTGATATTAAAAAAAACTTACTTGAGAATCCACATCTTTGTCCCACATATCGTTAATAGTACATCCAGCACCCCTCATTAAACCCGCACCCAATAGAAACAGGGCTGCGGTCTGTAACGTTGTATGTAGAGGTACTGTACCCGGGATGGAAGCCAATGCTATTGACCATGAACATGGCCAATAAAGGAGGTAGACACCTGGAAAAGGTGGTAATAATAAATTAAAAAACAGATTAACTTATTACATGTATTCATCATCATCATTCACAGCCCAAACTTGTCCACTGCTGGACGTAGGCCTCCCCCATCGATTGCCACAATGCCCGGTCCTGTGCCGCCCGCATCCAGTGCACTCCCGCAACCTTGACCAGGTCATTGGTCCATTGTGCGAGAGGCCTACCTACGCTGCGTCGACCCGTCCGCGGCCGCTACTCAAGGACTTTTCGGCCCATCGGCCGTCCGTTCTGCGGGCAATGTGGCCGGCCCATCGCCACTTAAGGTTTGCAATACTTCGGGCAATGTCGGTTACATATATTAGTAACATCAATTGAGTGCAACTTAAAACAATTTATGTTACTAATTTTACTAATATTGTAAATATGAATGTTTAAATGGATGTTTGTTAGAATGGATCTTCAGGATGGCTGAAAGTTCTCGATCAAATTTGGCATACATATAGAACATAGCTTGGAGGAACACATAGGCTAATGATTTTTTTTTAAACATGTTAAATATGTTCGTTTAGCTCTATGAATCTGGATGAAATTTTACACAGATATATGTGTTTGGAATAGCATTATTTTTTTTTTAAATTCTCCATAGAAAATGTCATTAAAATACATGTCTTCCAAAGTTTATCTTTCATAAAGCTTGGTTTATATCACATCATTTTCTTAACAACCATTTTATATAATTTGAAATAAAAAATGCCTATAATTCATCATCAGCTAACTATACATCTCCATCTCGGATCCCGGATCCAATCCTAAACTACTGACTAGGTGAATGCTGGCCCAGTGCGGTTTAGTTGTTTTTAAGTTAGAGGAAAAATCTTACCAATAGGTCTGTCCCATCTCGCTAATCTTATATAAGGATCCACTTTCTTCCATAAAGTAGATAATCTTATATCAATACTTTTTTCATCTGGTAACACTTCATTCCTTGTCTTATCTATAACTATTTTAGGTGTTGACGTCTCTATAACCACCTTTTGTCTATGGTGATCCGTTTGTGCTGAATATAAACGTATAATTCCTTTTCTATCTATCTGTCTGTAAACATGACCACATAGGCAGGGATTTTGTTTTTTTGTTTGATAAATAGTTCTTTTAATATTTGATACTTTTGTTACCCGTAGAAGCGTCTTTAGATTTGTTATATTAAAGTGTTTTAAGTTTGTGTTAATCATTTTAACCTATTTTTTTCACACCATATTGTATCTGAAATTAAGGAATAGTTCATAATCTTACTAATATTATAACGTGAATATTTGTTAGAAGGCATCTCCAGAATGACTGAATGGATCTCACTGAAATTTAGCATAGATGTAGAACATACTCTAGAAGACATAGGCTATTAATTTTTTTTTAATTCCGTGCGGAAGAAGTCGCTGGCAACGGCCAATATTTACATAAAAAGTTAATTTGATCTGACCTTGCTCTTAATGTCCTTTTGTAGACATGAGTATTTTTTTTAAATAAATAATAAGACTAATAATTGTTATCTACGGTAATATTTATATTAAATAATATTACGTAATTTAGGTAAAATATTTACGATAGTTTATTTAGTACTTGATAAAATATATGACATAATCTTAACCTATCGTTAAATTAATGTTTAATATATTTTTAGATTTAAAACTTACCTCGTATATGTTGCTTTAAGGAAATTAATGATGGTTATGTTAATTATTTTATAACAATAATGAAGCAAAAAATTGATAGGTTCAAGGTTAAGTTCAATTATAAATAAGGAAAATCACTATCATAAACACTGATCGTTTTTATTATTATTTAAATACTAAACACAAATATGAAATCTTATGTTTATATTAGATGTCGTTTTATATATATTTACATTCGGAAAAATCGATAATCTTAACATTTGAAATCAAATGAACCGCGTTGACAGACGAATTAATAATTAATGGTGACAGTGACAGATTAGTGACAGATGATTAAAACGTCGTATTCGTAATCCATTGATTGAAGAAATGTTAAGAGCATTCTGCAACTTAATCTTTTATTATGCAATATTTTAATTTAATATAAAAAAAATATATATACCTATTTCCGATTTTTAACAAAAATGTTAGTCACATAACTAAAACACTTAACAAAAATTATGAAACTAATTCTTAGATGTCATCATTTGGTCATCATCATCATCCCCTCCTGTACGTCCCCACCGAGGGGCTCGGAGCCTACCCTAAGTTAGGGGTGATTCTTAGATGTATTTCATACATATTACATTAGTAAGTACCTATACCAGAATCTAAAGTTTTCTAAAATTAATATATCTTATTATTAAAAATATGAAGAATATAATATTTTGGATAGGCAAAAAAAGCGTGATTGTTGTAAATTGTAATAGAAGTGTAGCAGACTCGCAGACTCGAAAGATTTTGGTGGTTTATCGATTAAAAAAATACAAAATAATATCATTAATGAAACTGTAGTTATAAATCCACATATTTTGGTTAATACCATTGAAAACTTCAAGGCTGAACGAATTTTACATACACAATATATGTATAATTAACTGGTACATTTATTTTTAAGTTGATCCAAAAACATTGTCACCTGTGTCCACAGATATGTCGACTCAAAAATATAGTACAAGGCTGCGGTTTTGCTTGAAATTAAAGTTGAAAAAATGTCATTTTTGCCTCTTCAAACATTAAAAAAAATTGTCTATTTTTTTTTAATAAACGGACCTAAGTATGCGGAGTTATGCCACGAAAAATAAAAATTGTCATTATTGTAATTTTATCCAAAATTGTATGACAATGAAACTTGCCTACATACAAACACATACATGTGTGCAAAACAAAATAAATAATACGTTAAATACTCATCATGATTTTAAAGAAAACTGTACGTTTTAACAGTGGTAGAGCCCGCTTTAACGTCTTCGCACGAATTGGTCCGGCTCACCCGGTGAAATACCACGACCACACAGAAGACACGCGTGAAGTAGAAGCAATTCCGTGTTTCGTCTGATGAGTGTGGTCCCGGAGACCTAATTTAGTCCTCTTTTCCTTCCCACCTTTTTTCTTATAATGAAAAGATCGGAAGTAGAAGTGGACTTTCCGGATGAGAGGATGCATCGAAAGGGAAAATATTTTCTTTCTGCGCATCCTCTTCTCCATCGATTAAAGGTAGGCAACGCATATGCAATTGCGTATGTTTATGGGCAACGGTCACTTCGATATATCAGCGATTTCAGGGCCGTTCGCTCGTTTGCCACCTTATGATATAAAAAAAAAACACATTTTTAACAAAGTTAAAGTTTGTATAGTAAAGAGCATAAAACTAATTAAAATAAATCTTTCATAAAGAACGGTTTATCGAATAAAAGGCGACCATAAGTTAAAATTCAAACATGGAAATAGATAGACATATAGACAGAACATCTTTTTATATAGATAAAGATTTGGTATATGGTCACGGTTGTCACCAAAATTGGCGTATAATGAAAAATTTAATTTAGATTTTGGTAATTCATGACGAAACGTATATAATTCAAGCGATTTAATTTCTTAGTCTACATTTGGACGTTGATCTTCATGATGGAGTTTAAAATTTTATTACTAACTATACTGGTATGTTTTTAATACTTTATCTACTAAACTGCAGAGATTGGAAATAAAACTTAATTAGCCTAGTTCTTCCAGACTATGTTCTACATATATGTCCAATTTCATAAAGATACGTGCAGCCGTTCTGGAGAGTTCATCTAACTTCATTCATCCATCCAAACATTCGCATTTATATTAGTTAAATTAACCTTTACTTTTTGTTTTATTTCAGATTGGTACGACTTTGGGTGTACCATTTTTACACAATGGTAAGCAATTTTATTATTCATCTTCTCTTCAAAAATTTTTATTTAGAACGGAGATAAAATCAAACCCAAGCCACTACGACTTAGGGTCCTTCAAGAAGTAAGCGTATCACCATCTCAAAAGTCCGCAATGCATCTGAGGTTCTTCTGGTCTTGCAGATGTCCATGAACGTCGATGAATACCTCGGTGTTCCTAGTACCCCCTACTCTTAAATATAAAAAAATATTAGTCAACAGAATTGTTTCGTTAGTTGGAATAAAATCATAAATAAATATTTCTCAATTGCTTAATTTTCTTCTCAACAGGTGGAGGTGGGTTAGCAATTGTCGCAGGTCTCAGAGGCGGTAAAAGTGTCGGATGTGGCAAAGGTCCCGGAGTTATCAATGGCCTTGGAGGTAACAATGGTCCCGGAGGTAACAATGGCCTTGGAGGTAACAATGGTCCCGGAGGTAACAATGGTCTAGGAGGTAATAAAAGACTCGGTGGTGTTGGAGCTGGTATCGGTCTTACGGTAGCATTAAATCTGGGTGCAAAAGTGGCCGGCAACTGCAGACACGGTCCATCAAAAGTCCTTCCGTCGATCGTACCAGTACCCAAACTTAATCCACCCAATGGAATTCCGTCTATAACACCCGGTCCCGACCCTAATCAACCCAATGGAGACCCATCCCCAACACCAGGAGCCAACCCTAATCCACCCAATGGAATTCCATCTGTAACACCCGGACCCGACCCCAATCAACCCAATGGACTTCCGTCTATAACACCCGGACCCAACCCTAGTCAACCCAATGGAATTCCGTCTATAGCACCCGGTCCCGATCCTAATCAACCTAATGGAGATCCATCTACCACACCAGGAGCCAACCCTAATCAACCCAATGGAGATCCATCCACCACACCCGGACCCGACCCCAATCAACCCAATGGAATTCCGTCTATAGCACCCGGACCCAACCCTAATCAACCCAATGGAATTCCGTCTATAACACCCGGACCCGACCCTAATCAACCCAACGGAATGCCCTCTATAGCACCTGGACCCGACCCTAATCAACCCAATGGAGACCCATCTACCACACCCGGACCCGACCCTAATCAACCCAATGAAGATCCATCCACCACACCCGGAGCCGACCCTAATCAACCCAATGGAGACCCACCTACCACACCCGGACCCGACACTAATCAACCCAATGGAGATCCATCAACCACACCCGGAGCCGACCCTAATCAACCCAACGGAATTCCGTCTATAGCGCCTGGCCCCGACCCTAATCAACCCAATGGAGACCCATCTACCACACCCGGACCCGACCCTAATCAACCCAATGGAGATCCATCCACTACACCAGGAGCCAACCCTTATCCACCCAATGGAGATCCATCAACCACACCTGGACCCGACCCTAATCAACCGAATGGAGACCCATCTACCACACCCGGACCCGATCCTAATCAACCCAATGGACTTCCGTCTATAGCGCCTGGCCCCGACCGTAATCAACCCAATGGAATACCGTCTATAACACCAGGACCCGATCCTAATCAACCCAATGGAGATCCGTCTACCACACCAGGAGCCAACCCTAATCAACCGAATGGAGACCCATCTACCACACCCGGACCCGATCCTAATCAACCCAATGGACTTCCGTCTATAGCGCCTGGCCCCGACCCTAATCAACCCAATGGAATACCGTCTATAACACCCGGACCCGACCCTAATCAACCCAATGGAGATCCAACAGCTGCTCAAGATCCTAATATTGCAACGCCTGCACCGAACGTACCTGCCAGTGTTCTTCCAGTAGACCCAATTCGAGCTGATCCATTGCCGTATCCAAAATCGCATTGCGCTGGAAAACCAAAGATAGGTAAGAAATGCATTATGACATTCATTTTATTAGGAAATAACAACATTAACCTATTTTGGATTTCGCTGGACAGGTTATTTTGTTCCGAAATAAAAGAGCCATTTGATTACTGACAATTAATTCTACCTTTATTATTAAATAACTGTAGCCCGCGACTCCGTCTGCGAATTAATGAAAAGCAAATAATTCGTAGCCTATGTGTTCTTCCAGACTATGTTCTACATCTATGACAAATTTCCTGGACCTTCTAACAAATATCCATTCAAATATTTGCATCTGTAATATATGTAAATAAAATTCGGGTCATCACCACTGCTACCAATAGCCATCAATAGCTTCATAATGGCGAAAACTAAATAGGCACAAAATGTAACTTCAGGTAGCCTTTTGTGTTATAAAAGTTAATTGTATAATACTAATCTGTTGCATTAAATTATTCAAACTTTCCTGAGACATTATAATAAACTGATATAAAAGGCTAAACACTCACGTATATTGGTCCGGTGGCGGCACCGACTAGTTTCGAGTCCATCGGGGGCCCTTTATCAGGGTGAGTGGTACTGGTATAACACCGATCGGACTCGGCCCGTCTACCACTAATTAGTAACCGATGGGCTCGAAACTTGTCGGTGCCGCCACCGGACAAATATACGTGAGTGTTTAGCCGTTTTTATATCAGTTTAATCTGTTGCAGGTGGCAAACACGGTCCTGATCACGGCCTAGAAGCAGCAATCCGTCTTGGTTTAAAAGTTGGCCTTGGGAAACAAATTGGAGGCGGGGCCATACCAAGCGTGCACAAGCTTTTAAAACCTAAAGTACCATGTCATTCGGTAGCATATAAATGAAGTCGCTACAATAATATTACGTATTTTTACATATTTTCTGTTGGATTAAATATTTATAGTAATTAATATATTAATTATCATGGGAACAGTGGACCCTTTTTCATTTAAATACTTATGTCGCAAAAAATCGAAAGAAAAATATCGATTTTCATAATAAATTGCATATTTTAAGTCCATATCGATTTATTTATTGTTATCGATGTTTTTAAGCAACTCACAACACTATGAAGCTTAAAGTTATAGCTGTCAGTGACATATTAAAGTGCTAATAGATTTGGAACTATGTACTCCTAGCCCGCAACTCCGTCTGCGTGGATATATAAAAAACTTAATTAGTGTAGCCCACCCATCCATCCATCCACATCACATCCATCTAAACATTCGCATTTATAATAATAGTAAGGTAAATAAAAAGGAGCTCTTTAAGGCGTAAATTCGAAAAAAAGAGAGAATGAATAGTATCCTATGTCCGTCTTCTGGCTCTAAGCTACCTCCTCACCAATTTTCATATCGGTAAAGTCGTTCTTGAGTTATAAATAGTATAACTAACACCACTTTCTTCTATATATATAAGGTTACAATTAATATATTTCTGCAAATAACTCATTATTTATTTCAACTCCAATATTATATACCTACATTAATTACTAAAAAAAGACGACTGACAGGACCTCATGGATAAAACAGCACCATTTACTAAGTGCATTTCAAAATAAAGATTTTTCAATTTTATTAATAAAACTAAATAAACTGTAGTTTTACATGTTACACTTTCTTATTCTCTTACTAATATTATAAATGCGAATGT